TTTTTGCTTCTATCATCCCTGAAGAAAAAATAATTATATTTTATGTAAAATCCTGTATTTTACATATATATATCGTACACATGGGGACCAATATAATGTGGACTTTCCTTTAGCTCTCTAGTGTAGGTCTGACTTCCTTTTCACAATTTGTTCAATGTACCACGAAAACTTTCTGACATTGGTAAATTCCCATACATTTCAACCTTGTCGCATCACTACCCGCCCCAATATATACCAAAACATTTGAAGAGAAACTTGGTCAAGGATATTGCCTTCACCAGTCACTTTGACAAGTTAGAACTCGGCGGTAATGATGGCGCTTTTCATTGACGATGAGGGAAAAACGTCTGGGCGTTTGCCCAGTCAACGGTCAGATGCTGGAAATCCTGAATTCTATGCCATAAGGTCTCTCTTTTGTTCTGAACAAGTAGCGAAAACGAGGACAAATCAGTCCTATAGAGCTAATTAAGATTGCGACCAAATAAAAGGCCGCATCATCTTGATCTGCATATCTACGATCTATAGCATTAATAGTTATCATTTTGATAGTTAAATTACTCCAGCTTATTTCAAATACTATCTTAATAATAAATGATTTGGTTAAAGGTAACGATTATGGGTTAGAAGTTAAATACAGGATTTTATATAAAATATCATGAGCGTTTATTCAGACTAAAATAGGCACTTATCTTAACCTCTAAAAATAGTTGTACTAAAATACCATAATTCTTGAATTTTATAACTAGCCTAAGTAGTATAACACCTGTTACCTCTATCAAGTTGAGAAAACTAAGTCAAGCTAACACTATCAATACACTATGTTTTTGTCATAAGGAACGATTAATGTGTCTATTGAGACCTTCTGCTTAGAAGTAAGTAAAGCATTTATAGCAGAAAAATTACAAGTTTACTGTTTTATAGAAACTATATTTACGGATTAATGCAAAAATAAACCGTTTAAAATATAGAAATTCCTTCGAAAGGGTACGCAAAGTAATAAATGGATAAAGACATTTGGATAAATAAATCTCCTAATTTTTAGACTTTGTTTATTACATATAGCTAAAATAAATACAATTTTTTATAAAGAGTTAGCATACTAGGCATTTAGCCGCTCAAGCGACTTCTTCTTTTAGAGTGATAGGCCAAAGTAATCTGAATATATCAAAATAGAAAATAAGTTTAGTCATGGATTAAATATTAATCGATTTCCATATTTCTGTCATGTTTCCGTCGGCTTATTATATTCCCTAAATAAGACACATTCAATGACAGTTATTTTAAAAAAATCAATACAATTATTTTCATTTCAATCGTCAAGTGCGGAATATGAAAGTTTATCAGAAAAATTAAAGATTTAGAATAGATTTATATCACTGTATATAATAATTATCATTAAAAAAATTCTTGCAAGACTGAAAAATCAGCTATTTACCATTTTCATCGTGTATCCAAGATTAAAACCAGTAAATACGCGTTCAAAAATTGCTTTCTCTCTTTAATAAAGAAAAAAAAGAATACAGACTTTTAAATAAAAGATAATAACAGTTTTTTACATTGTTGAATACACAATTAGGACTTTTGTCGTCAAGCCAAAAGAGAAATATTTTCTAAATTTTATTCTAAAATTTCTTAGCAAAAGTAAAAAATTGTATGCTAGCCAAAATATTTGATCTGCGGATTTATGTTAAGTAGTAAATTACTAAATAATATTGTAAACATTGACCCCAATATCATTAGTGTGTATGATTAATGGTGATATCAGCATAAGCAGCGCTTGCGAATAAAGGCAGGTAATGCATTTTAATTATTAAAAGTATCCTAGCTTTTATAGTTTAGCATAATAAAGTATATTATGGTTCCT